ACGTCTATATGCCAGGGCAGGTTGTCCTCCACTTAACAATCCATTTGTCGAAAGACGTCATATGACTCTTTTGACAGCGTTGCGTAAATGCACGCCTTGTGCACGAGCGTGTTTAGGAATCCAGCTTGTGGTTATTCTCGAGGCTTCGGAAGTGACTTCATAAACTGTTCTCCCCTAACCCCCTTCCCCCATTGCCACTCTCCATAAATATTCATCCATCTTATCAGGCTCTGGCTGCGTATGAACCGTGAGTGAAGATGTTAACACTCAAGAAATTTGTAGAGTAGAGATGGGACCTGGGGTAGGGGCCGAAAAGAGTAAACGAAAGTGCAAAGAAAAGAGCGCTCTTCGCGTGCTTGCCATTAACGTTGATCGAACAACATTATGCCATACGCCTAATCTGCATTCTCCCGGAATGTCTGCAGCACTGCGCCGCGACTCCCAGAGCTCAGCGTAATTTTGAGCTATCTATCCCCACAGAATTCCGATAAAGTAGTACGTCATCTAGAGGTATGGGGCCTCGAACAACGTAGCCCACAACCAACTCTGTTCGTCGTTTAATCAAACGGAACAGCTAAATCGATTCGATAAGTCAGGGCGCGAATAGTTCTTTCCCAGAACCCCCAACTAACGCGCATAAAAATCCACCTTTCGCGCGGATCCGCCAGGAAACATTGGTTCCTTTTTGGCCACCGTCTCCAATCCAAGAGCTAACTGCTGCTACTACCGCTGCTGCGTCGTCGCGAGGAACACGAATCCAGAGTATATCTTTATCCAGGGGAGTGGTTTCTATCTTTAGGATATCAATTGATATGGAGGTGCCGGATACACCAAGGAATTGGGAGAGGGCCGAGGTAAGATATGTACGTGCTGTCAGCTCATCCAGGGCTGACGATGACAGATTTGGTTGAGTAATTCTGGGTAATATTTGAAAGCTAAGTTAGCATTTCGGAACCCTGGGTTCTTAAGTATAGTGGAAAAGCATGGACATGGGTTCTTCTTACAGCTGAAGCCGAAGATATGACCATGGCGGCTTGCGGGATGTGAAATTGATGGGGAGGCCATTGCTAACGGCAGAAGTATCAGAAACTTTTTGCTTGCTTGTATTATTTTTAGCATGAAAAGTGGATTTTTCTGCGAGGGAGCTTGTCATTGTTCGTTTAAAGGAAGTAAAGGTAATCCTATTGAAATGTTTTGCTCTGACGTCTGTGAGGGTTGGACGCGGGCATCGATTATTTTGATGGGATGATTGGATTGGGGGGTTCGTCCCTCGTCCGGTTTTCGCTGGCAGTAGTTAACTAACTAGTCGCTCAGAAGCTTTGTGAAGCCGCCACCAGAAATAGCCGCGCCTGGGCACGCTAATATAAGTTTATCAAGCACTTTCACCCGAAACTGTCAGGAATCGAAGATGGTGAAGCAAAAGCTTGGTTATCGGATGAATGAAACAATTGAATGGTAAAAAAAAAATTGTGATATAATCTAACCGCGTAATTTCATGTTTTGGTGATTGCACGACGCCAACCAGAGCATTGGAAAATCCCACTTTAAGCATGGGCACATGAATGAGAGTATTAACTTGATACTTTCTCCTAGAAGGGGCTTTCAAATGATGACCCTGGTTTTCATCAAAGTTGCAAAGCTAATCCTTGCCAACACTTTCATCGCAGTGAATCAGATGGTGAATGTTGGCTTCCCCTGCCCCTCTACTTTTCCCATCGCAGTGTTAGCTACTTCGGCACTTAGGGTACCTAGGCGGCCAGCAACATCTTCTTTCCATCAGTCTGGGCCACTTTGCTTCTTAACTATAGGAAAGTAGATAGCAAGCGTTTCTCGAGATAGTGAACCCAACTGGCTGCAGACAACTACGAATCGTTCACACCATGCGCGTGTTACAAGCTTATACAGATGAACGGAGAAGGGGCAATCTGAATGTATTTGGGAAAAGAAGCTTCCTACCACCTGTAAAAAGAAGCCCACAATGTCGAGAACGCAATGGATGGTTGAAGAGATACCGAAATATATCGTGCAAGTATGTAAACGCTTGGAGGGGAAAAATATATATATTGTCAATACATAAAGACCATGTACTTATCCATAAAATTGAGTTTTTCAACTTTGGGCGAAAATAGTATTCACTGTCCATTCAAAACCAGCAGAATCAACAATGACAATGGTTATTCAAATTCACCCTTTTCCCTGTGGAATGGCTTGGTGGAGTATAATCTCCTTCACTGACTCGTATAGCCGGCCTCGTCTTTCTAATGCGAGGATGAAAGGGCAGGAGGTGGTATCCCCTTTCTTGTGTAATGTCATTCTTTTTTCTTTCCGTCCTTGGGCCTAACTTATCCAGTAGCTTCGAAGTCGTCCAATCCATTCTAGTTCTATGTTAGAAAGCAAGGCTTCTCCTTTTGTTTGAGCAAAGGAAGCAGGTATTCCATTTTGTATATCAGCACCCATCTGTGAAACTGGTTTCACGGTAGACGCTACACTATTAGTTCCTGATACATCATCCATCTTAACAATTCCGGACGAGAAGCAGGTCTTTGGATCCCATTTGCCAATTGAATAATCGAATTACCGAAGCTGGTCGACGGTACCGATAAAATAGAGAAAAAAACCATGGCGTCGAACCCTAAACGTAAGTGTCACTGACACAGGAGTATGATTTTAACACAGGAAGCTCTGACAACCTGATCCAGGACGGCCACCACGCCAGCATAGTGCGGCATCTCGGTCCAACGTGCTGAACATCACCGAGCCCATGCCCGGTCAGACAGACTGGTCTGTCGATAATCTCCCGGAAATTTTGTATGTTTTTAGACCAACCGCCCCCCAAGTAAGGTCACATAACAAAATGCCTATGAAACCGTCGCCTTGGGATTCCGGGCAGGACCTGCGGATCTTTGATATTCTGCCGGACAGAATATCAGCCAATGTGGAAGAGTTTCGGGTTGAAGCCTGGATGCGCCTGGATCGGCGCATCCAGCTTCATGATATCACGGATCGTATGCATCCTGAATTTCGCATAGCAAAAAATGCACTCCAGCAGCGCGGAGTCAGATTTCGCCAGGCTTTCAGTATACTCTCCTGGGGATCAGGAAATAAACAAACTCAGGTTGTTGCGGAGCAGCTTGAGAAAGAAATGGAAGCTAGGGGCATCGACCCAGCGTTGAATTCAACTCGCGGTTTGACCCCAGGTTTAATCAACTTGGCTTTGGGTGAGGCAGGCGGGAGAATTCCTGTGCCTGAGGCATACAAACAACGCTTTCAGGCGTTTGCTAAAGAGCAACAGGAGTTGATTCAGCAACTTCCAACAATGGATACGCCCGTAGTGGTGGCCCATACCCTCAGAACACAGGAAGCGCAACAGTTATTCATAGATCTGCCCGTTGAGTCACCCGACCATATGCAAGACGTTCTTCCAGGATTAGAGTTACCAACAAATCCGCCGAGCCAACTGATCAGCTATGACATTTTGGATGACAATGTCTATCATGATCGCACCTCGCAGGAACCTATGGAACAGAGAGATGCTAAGCCTCAAAATTCAGATGGAATATGCGCGAACTTCAGCCAGGATGCGTGCTCAGTTCAGGAAGAAGGAAATGTGGTTTGTCCAGAAACAACCGCCCCGGATGCGTCAAATGGTGTTCACTTCCCGCTTGAAAATAGTCCTTGCCCTGGAATCCCTTGTTACGGAGATCCCTTGGAGATCAAAGAAGAGCCGCCGACACCAACTAAAGTTCGAGTTTCTCGAGTGCCTATCGAACTCTTGATGCAGCAGTATGTCGATATCCCATACTGCTGGAAACTTGAAATGTTTGAAGCAATGCATAAAATTCATGCTGTAATGGCTCCAATAACTCATCCAGACGACCCTCTCCAGGGAGAGATGGTGGCAGATGAATGGGAATTATTTCCAACTATCCCTAACGTCCCTTTTGACTATCTGGATTTCGGAGACTCAAGGGACCAACCGATCGAATATGAGAAGATGGAGGGAGCGACGAAATATCAGCGAGAATACGACATCGATATGGACTATTGTGAGCAGTTGCGGGCTTCGTGCGGGCTGAATTTTGCTTGAGTGACCATCGGATCAATCGAGATTTTTTTTTCCGTGCCAATGTGCTTCGGTTGTTTATATTACGGACTGGAATGTCATGGTTATGATTTTGATGACCCAGCCAGCCTCTCGTTTGTTATGACGTGGATGAAAACGTTTGAAGATCTAGAGCTATGCTGCACACGCCCATGCACTGTACTTAGTTATTTGCTAGACAGCTGTTGAATTGTTGTGCCGGACAAATCCAATTCACAGCAACCGATAGTCATTTTAGAAGTCTTGTACTTTAGAAAAACATCAGATTTTACCGCATATCAATGCCTACCTAACTTCCGGTTTTAATGGGTGGACAGGGTGATGTTATTAAATGTTATGGACCGCCAACTTTCGAGTCGCTTACCGTGGCTGAATAGTGGAAACAGAAGTAAAGGGAAACTCAGCTCAAGAAGATGACTGAGTATCGGGTTTGCATCCGGAGGTTAAAAGAGCTTCATAGAAATCCACTAAACAATACCGAGATCATATCGCACCCTTGATCTTTATGATTAAGATTATCGAAATATCGTCAAATTTCGTATGCCAGAGAGAGTAGATTAGAAACTGACGCACGAGTATAAAACAGTCCCGGTAAATCCTCTGACCGTTGGAGGAGATCGGGGGGACGTAGTTAAAATAAGGTTAAGGTTGCACTAGCCATGATGGGTCTCGGTCCGCGTTCCACATTCCAAGGTCGACATGCAGAGCCGCCCCTTATCTCAACCAAGGTCGACCGCGCTCCAATAATCCGCCAACGTTTATTAACACATTGACGATGGGGATTCGATCTGTAAAGGCGCATGTATTTCACGGATATTCTCCTTGGAGGATATTACCCCGGGGGACGTATTTTTGTATTACCGCATGGAAAGGTCAATGAGCCAGCCCTGGGATCAAGGCTGTGCAGTTATGTTTCCTAGTTTGTAAGTCGATTCGGCAGACACTACTGGGGAATGAAAGCTAACTTAACTAGGGTCAAAATGATACATTCTATTGTTGCTCTTTAACTTTGACTTGGGTGTTCTTAGTCGCTTATCGGGTTCGGGATTTGTCCTTTAAGGTCAGTGGTCCTAAACGACAAGAGAGTTTTGCGGCACATACGGCCCCTTATACCCTAAACGAAATGCTGTTCATATATTGCAAATGTACAACCTAACATTTGGAATATATTTTGTGGCAGGATATGCTCTAGTTCACTCTGTTTCAAAACCTCCAGCGCTTCCATTGCCTCTCTTTCACTCCCCTGATCTTAATGGGCCTTTTCTTCCTTGCTGTTGCAGATTTTAAGAAATTGCTGCTGATCTTTATTTGGTGTTTGTGTATGTGGTTTTGTGTTATGAGCAGTGTTAAGTGAATTATTCACGACCAGACTTCGCCGTTTCAAGAGCAACTGCTCTCTCGCTGCGGTTCTCTCCATTCACTCCATTTTCTTCTACTTTCTTCTCATCTCGCAATAGAAGTTACCACCCTACCTTCATCCTTGAGTCTTCGCGCTCCACATCCTTCCACAAACCTTTCAATCCCAAAATTTGGTGTCAGATTTCATTGATTGCCCTCTCTCAGCCAAACAGCGATTAGAAACACCCGCTGCACCAAGTTTCCTTATTCTTAATGCTGATTGCAAATCCTGTAACAAGCTCTTGTTTTGTGAACTGATTAAACTTCAAAAGTTAGACAGATTTCAGCTGTTTGCTTATGAGCTTTATCACTCCCAGAAGTGTTGTCAAAAATTGTGAAAGTAGGCATGGCTGAACAAGGAGAAAACCAGTCAGCTCCTATATCAGCTGTAGCGCCAGGTCTGTTGACATTGTTTCATCACTCTTGTTTTTATGCTAATATGATTCAAGAAACCGCATCTGCAGTGTTTCAGTGTCAGCGTGAGTGAATTAGCCTTCTATCCCCTTCCTTCCTCTACCTTTGTATTAAATGATTGTTTGCCCAGATCCCTTTCCACCGGACACAAACCACACTTGCCAGAATGCTGCAAATCAGGGCTACAGTGCCGAGAACCTCCCACCGCTTTTATTCCAGCTGGATCCCCCAATTGAGCGTTCGACTACTGTAATTCCCAACTTGGTCGAGAATGGCCAAGAGGTTCTAGACTACGACGGAGGTGTGATCCACGACTTCCCTTTCCTGCCACGCTACATATCGACACGGCCATCGGCCTGGCAGCTGGAGTTTTGGATGAGGTTGGATCTACGACTGACATATCGGGACATTAAGGCCCGAATGACAGTTGGGAAGAACCTCCTACCAAGCGACAACTCCCTCAATATGCGGCGAGAACGGGAAGCTCGCGCGCCTCTTGGGTTGTCATGTTGGACAACCCGGCGCGGAGGGGTGACGAGGACTGAAATAGAGCGGGTGGAAAAGCTAAGTCAAGACCAGGCCAGTTTGTGCTTCCACTTTCGCGCGATTAACACTGTATGGCTGTTAACCGGAATATCCTTCAGCAGGTGTCGCTCAATACCACAATGGACGTAGAATATTCTGACGAGCCCGCCAATGGACGGTTATCTGTGCCAAAGTGCCTTCGGGCAAGAAACCTTGCTGGTATTCCCGCAGCCTGTTACCCTTGGGACACGTTTCTCATGAACAAGCGATTGCATGTCCCGAGTGCCAGGCTGGCGGAAGCGTTAGCTCTTCATGAACAGCTGTTGGAGGCTGTTGCGAACTCCAATTTCAGCGACTGGCGGGAACTCCCGGGAGACCAGCTTCCCCTTTCCTGGAACAGAAAACGGGGAAATGATCGACGAACAAAAGTATCTGGGCCGAGTGGCATTTTTCGACAAGTAGCGCCCAACCCAACAGAAGGGACGGGCGAAGAAGCCAATCCGGATTTGGTTGGTCCCAGCGATCGTGCCAATAACGACAATGACCAACAAGTTGGGACTACCAGCCTCCTCAACCCGTTCCAGGGGCCTCATTTCTCAGAACTCGCTGCCCTCAATGACCAAGTAC